CACACTCTACGTCATCGATCACTTTCCTCTTTGGCCCCATAATCTTCTTGATCAGAAAATTTGGGACACTACCAAGGTACATGATGTTACAGTACAAGTTTATATATATTTTTTTAAAGGAGGGAAATTATAAAGATAAGAATGGAAATCAATAAAATTGAGCCTAAAAAACCCCCCTCACATACACATTTTAAAAATAAAACACACCACCACAATGATCCAAAGAACTGGTTCTTTGAAAGAATAAATGAAACAGATAAGCCCCTAGCCAGATTTGCCGAGAGAGAAAAGACTCACATCAATGCAATTAGAAATAGAAAAGGATAAATCAGAACAGACACTGGGAAAATTCAGAAGACAGTAACTACTTTGAAAAATTACATTCCAACAAATTAGCAAATTTTGAAGAAACGGACAGATCCTAGATACATACAAACTATTAAAATTAACCCAAGAAGACATAAATATGCTTAACAGCCCAATAGCAAACAATGATACTGACAAAGTAATAAAGAATCTACCAACTAAAAAAGTTAATACCTGATGGATCAGGTAAAGTAAAAAGAAAGAAAATAATATCGAATGGAGAGAAGAGGACAAGGAAAAGGATCTCTTGTAATATAGAAGTGTTCCAAGGGAAAAAGCACAAGAGGTGAGGAAGAAGTAAGTGGAGGGTATGCTGTGTGGAGGAATCTAATACCCTCAGATAATATAAACATTGTATGCCATAACATGAACTAACATTAATAATATCAACAGGAAAGAAAGATGGTATAGGTGATTTGGAGGAGGGAGGAAGGAGCCAGGGATTAAAAATAGACACTGCGGTATGTTCAGGTAATCAAGCCCCAAAATGATTGTAAACTGCATGAACTGCAAACAAGTACAGTACTAATAAAATTTTTTAAAGAAACTTTTTTTTTGGTGGAACTGGGGATTGAACTCAGGCCTTAGCGCTTGCCAGGGAAGTGCTTATTCCTCTGAGCCATCTCCCTGGCCCAAGAAACTTAAATTGCTGATAAAATATACATCATTAGAATACCATGCACATATATCCTTTTAAAAATAAAAAACTACCATTTAAAACATATGGACATTCTGATCAAGAAGATTATAAGGCCAAAGAGGAAAGTGATCGATGATGTAGAGTGTGCCTAAGGAGAGTCACATGGGGAGAAGACACTCTCTCAGGCTTCCACAGAGAGCACATTGGCCAAGCAATGGCCGTGACTCATCCACTTGGCTGCACTGACAAAGGTTCTACAATCTGAGGTACAGGATCTCAGGATAAATCCTGAGGGGATTTCACTTCTCAGACCAAAAAGCTACAACTCTTGTTGCATAGGTCCTGCTTTACCTTGGTCTTAACCATCCAGTAGAAAAGTATGAAGATGAAAAATAGGAAGTAAAGCCATGTTGTTAGGTTGAGCTGTGGGGCACTCAGGTCAATAATTTCTGACACTGTCAGTTAAACAGAAGACCCAATGCTATTATGGGCTACTGGACTCTTTTAGAATATTTTGCTGAGTTTACACACCTATAATATTCAATAACGGAACTTAGAAAAAATGGGGTATACAGATGAATGTCCATTTTGTATCTGTGTATTCAAAGTGGTTAGGATAGATATATAGGTGCATTCTCTTAATGAACAGAATGATTTGTTCTAATGGTGTTTGTAAATAGGATCTCAAGTCCGCATCTTGTACAGCAACTAACCACTAAGAAGAATATATTCAGTGTATTATTTGTTGAAACTGTATTTCCGATTTGATTTGAAACTATCTCATTGCTATCTGTTTATCAATAAAATTTTGAAAAATAAATAAATAAATAAATAAAATAAATAAATAAAACATATGGACAAAGTGGGCAAAAATAATTATTCCCAGTCCATAATTAAAATAGCCCTTCCGTCTCACATTATCTTATTCTACTTACTTTTCTTCATAGCATTCTTTTATTGCCTAACATTCTAATTTCTATTTATAATTGCTAGATTTCTTTTATTACGAAGAAAATTCCACAGGGCAAAGAGCTGTAATGGTTTTGTTAACCATTGTATTAACAGCTACAATGGTGCCCAGTTCACAGTTCATCTATTCATTCATCCACCAATGCAAAAGAATAAAGCAATGGTATCAAAATATAGATGGTTGTCAATAGTGAACAAAAAGAATAGCTACCAATCCCAGTCCTTTCAAGAGGAAAAAAAATGAACAATAACTAAAAATAATAAATTTTTTGAAATATCTCCAGCAAAGTCTTTACTTACTTCCCTGGTGTAGGACATTCACCTGTGGGCAAAGGACTTAGAAAAATGGTTTTCTAAACATCACAAAGTTGTGCTTTTCCCCCAACTAGCTGGGTGATTCACCCAGCTTAACTGACCCTCACTCACCTAAATACCGTTTTCTTCCTTTCCTCACAACTTTCCAGGGATCCTTTCCTTGCTCCAATAAGGAAATCACATCTGGTTTAGATATGAAACACCCTGCTTAGAGGAAAATAATTGAAAATTTTATTGGTTTATCCTGGTTACATTTGTAGTGTACTACAGATTAAAATGATAACTAATAAAAACTGAAAGCAAAGAAGGGAAAGATGGTTTAAAAATGTGTACATGAAGATTACACAATAAATAGAGATTTGAAAAGGACAGTAAAGATCGTTTAAAATTCATACTCATACAAGTGTTTTGTTCAGAAAAAACAGTGCTTAAGATTACAGACCACATGGTTCAAATCCTGTCTCTGCCACATCACAGTTACATAATCCAAGACAAGGTACTTCCATGCTTCATTTCCCTCATCTATGACAGTGATAATAATAGTGCCTATCTGCTGAGTACGGTGGCATATACCTGTAATCCCAGCTACTTGGGAGACAGGAAGATTACCAAATTCAAGGTCACTCTGACAACACAGCAAGATTCTGTTTCAAAAACAAAAATTTAAAATAGTGCTGGGGATGTAGCTTAATAGTAGAACATCTCTGTGTTTGATCCATAGATTGCATTAATCTGTATCTACACTTAACATTACCTGAGAGTAGTATAGATATTTTATTAGCTATTAGTTGTTATTTTGCTGACAGGAAAAGAAGAAGCTTCCCAGAAGACACTTATCTCTCACTCCCCATCTCTCTCCCTCTCTCCTGTCTCCCCTCTCTCTCCTCTCTTTCTCCTCTCCCCTCTCCTCTTCCCCTCCCTCCCCTCCCTCTTCCTTCTTCTTCTTCTTCCTCCTCCTCCTCCCTGTCTGTCTCTCTCTGTGTCTCTGTCTGTCTGTCTCTGTCTGTCTGTCTGTCTCTCTCTCTCTCTCCCCCTCCCCGAGCTACATCCTTGGCTCTACACTTATTTCTTAAGATAGTAATAACAACACTAAAAGCAAAGTTTGCCATGTCTGATAGTGCATAACTGTAATCCCACCACTGAGGAGGGTGAGGCAGTAGAACCACTTCAAGTTTGAGGCCAGCCTACACTGCATAATGAGTTCAAAGCCTCACTGCACTACATACAGTGAAACCCTGTCTCAAGGGGAAAAAAAAGATTCTTGGATTTTTAATTTTCAATACTAAAATTAAATATATTTGTTTATTAACCAAAGGAATGAGATACCTTAAGTTGTAAATAAATCCTGGTGATCCAACTTACCAATATACCAAGTATACATGTTCTCTCTCTTCCCTCCTTCCCTCTACCACTTCTCTCTTGTGTGCTGCTGGGGATTATTCTAGGGCCTAGTGCCTGTTACACAAGTACTCTAACCACTGAGCCACATCTCCAGCCACATGTGTTCTTTTGACATAGAAAAACCAAGAAAGAGTTTAGCTATTTTCCTAACAGGCATATAATAAGTAATAAAATATCGAAAGCAACTCTGAGTGCAAAAACAAAATAAATTCTGCTTTGATACTGCTAAAGCCATAAATCGTAGGTTTCAAAACCAGTCCCTTCATTGATAAGTTAGGATACAGAAGATAAGTATATTCAATGAAAGTGCTCCCTTCCAAAGAAATAAACTAAAGGAATACCTTTAAATTATTCAAACTATTCCCTTAAGAACAGGGAGCATTGGGACTAGGCAGATAGCTCAGCAGTTTAAGTGCCTGTCTGGTAAGCACAAGGACCAGGGGTCAATCCCTAGTACCAAACACCAGCCCTGCACTAAGCTGGCCATGGAAACCAAGTGTGGTGGAGCACACTTGTAATCCCAGTGCTGGGGAGGCTGAAACAGGAGGATCACTATAAGTCTGAGCTGTGTAGCGAGACCCTGTACCACACATCTGGCTAACAGCAGATATTTTTTATGACAAATAAATAAAGATAAAAAAAGAAAAAGAACATGGAGCAGAAATTCAGATGGTTTCTTGAAAAAAAATAACTTCAAAGAAGAAAGCTATGGTACTGAGAATACAGTCTAAATTACTAAAGGCAGACAACCTTACCTAGTGAGAGCAAATTGTTATAGTTCTCCATCATCACATCTCTATATAAGTCCTTCTGTTCCAAGTCTAGGTACTCCCACTCTTCTTGAGAAAAGACTATGGATACATCACTGAACAGCATTGATTCCTGAAACAGCAAACCAGCAAATCATACATTACAACTGAAATAAAGAAAATTTGTTTTAATATGGAAGAGAACATATGGAGGAAATATTGCAAGAAATTGAATATTACAGTAGGCAAATAGGCTTGAGCTAGATGGGTGTAACACAGCTAGTTAGAAAATGATTGTGCCTGAAAGATCCTCAAGGATCCGACTGTTACAGACGCAGCCTGTAACAGAATATATAGGATACTATATTTTCTAGCATACCTCAGTAATCCAAACATGTACGGGAAAGAAAAAAAATAAGCATTTTTCCCATTAAATGAAACACTACGAGGGCTAGGGATATAGCTCAGTGGCACAGTGCCTGACTGGCAAGCAAAAGGTCCTGAGTTCAATTCCTGGTACCAAAAGTAAAAAATAAAAAAAAATTTAAATGAAACACTGTTAAAGCTTTTGCCTGCTACATGTCTACCTCGTAAGTTATCAAGAAACGTGAGTTCTATTCCTGTCTGGTTAAATAATAGATTTTTTGAAACTTTTTTTTGCAGTGCCAGGGATCAAACTCGGGACCTTGTGCTTGCCAGGAAGGTGCTTATGCCACTAAGCTATATTCCCAGCCCTTGAAGAACACATTTTTATTTTATTTCATTTATTTTGTGGTGCTGGGGACTGAGCACTTTCCCAACCCTTTCTTAATTTTTCATTTTTGAGATAAGATCTCACTGAATTGCCAAATTGCCCAGGCTGGGCTTGAACTTATTATCCTCCCACCTTAGCTTCCCAAAATGCTGGATGATAGGCATGTACCACCACACCCAAAAAGAACAATTTTTTGTTTTGTTTTTTTGAGAGAGTACCACTATGCAGCTCATGCTGGCCTTAAACTTCCTATGTAGCCCAGGCTGGCTTCAAATTCCAAGTGATCCTCCTGTCCAAGCCTCCCATGTACTGGAATTATAAGCATGCTACACAACATCTGGCGAAGAGCAGATATTTTGTCTTTTTTTTTTTTTTTT